GATCTAGTAGACATATTTTATCTAAACATTATATTAAATGAAAGAATCATATTGTATTGTAGATAAAAGAGTAACTCCTTGCACAGAGCCAAGTGGTTATCAAAAAGATAAAAGAGGTAGAACTCAATTCTTTTGCAGATGCGCAGTTTGTGGAAGTAAAAAAGTTAAATATGTGAAAACTGGATCAGCTTCTCAAACTGGAAGTGGTAAAAAGAGAAAACGAAAGTCAAAAAACTAATCAGCCCGTCTGAAGGGGCGGGCGTCTTTGATACTGTTGTTGGCACAGCAGTTGACGGATTTGTTCGTTATGGTTTACCTTGGATGGGTAAAAAAGCAGTTGAAATGGGGCGATATGGAGCAAGTGAGTTAATGAGAAATAAAAATCTTCAGAAGAAAGCTGTAAATTATGGAATCAGTAAACTTACTCCATTTATTCAAGATTCTGTTGGAACAGCAATGGACCAGCTGTCAACAAAAGTGAGACCAAATAAAAAGTATAAAACTGATAGAAAGGATTTAGACGGTCGATCAGGACGAGGAGTTGGTGGTAATATTTTTGAAGATATGACTAAAAAATTAAACGACATTGTTTCAGACCCCCAAAAGTTTAAAGAATATCAACTAGACTTAGCTAATTATGCGTGGGAGCAAGCACAAATATTTGGATATAGGGGAACATTACAACAATTTTTAGCAGCACTCGGTTTAAGCCAAATTGGATCAGGTATCACTGATAAACTGACAAAAAGTGGAGTCGCTGGCAGTCCTTACCATGTTGATTTTAAAACAGGCTTTAAACTACTCTCTGATCCAGATTTATGGAAAACACCAACCAAACAAGAAGAAAAGGATATGAAGAAACGTGTTGCTGCACTAAAACGCAGTTATGATGTTGTAAAAAGACTGGGTTTTAAGGGGTCATATAACAGCTTTGTAAAAAAAATTGGAGCTGCTGAAAAACCATCTTTTACATTCCCGGGGTTTGGAGGAACAATAGATATCCATAAACAGATTGGTAAATTACCAAAACCAAAAGGTGGATGGACCTTGCCGGGGCATAAATATACAGGTCCTTATAACGATCTCGAAAACCAAGTAAGATACAATCCAAAAACTGGTGAAATATTAGAAATTTACGATCAACCAACTGGACCAACCGATGCTTTAGCCATGCAACATGATGTTGATTATAGTGTTTGTGGTGATGACCGAAAGTGTAAAAATAAAGCTGACAGAAAGATGGTAAAATCTTTGGATGCAATTCCTTGGAAAGAAAGACAATGGGGGCATTGGTTGGCTAGAACAATGATAAATACAAGACAAAAACTTGGACTTGGTTTAAACGCGAGTCGGCGTTGAGTAGTGATTGGTCTCAACAATTAGCCGACGAACTTCACAAACCAATCACAAGAAACTTTCAGAAGAGGTCAGTAATCTCAAACGGGATTGATGATATCTGGGCTGCTGATTTGGTTGAAATGCAAAAGTTTAGTAAGTGGAATAAAGGGATAAAATATCTTCTAATGGTAATAGATGTGTTTAGCAAGTATGGTTGGATAAGAGGATTGAAAGATAAGAAAACTGAAACTGTTAGTAAAGCATTTGATGACATATTCAAAAGTAAACGTAAACCTCAAATGTTATGGACTGATAAAGGTTCTGAGTTTATCAGTAAACATTTCAAAGATTTTCTAAAAAGAGAGGGAATTAGGTTGTATCACACTGAAAACGAAGAAAAATCTAGTGTTGTTGAGAGATGGAATAAAACAATGAAAAACAGAATGTGGAAAATGTTTACTGTGAATAATAACACTGTTTACTATGATAAGTTAGATAAACTAGTTAATGATTACAATAATACGAGACATTCTAGTATAAAAATGACTCCTGTTGAAGCAAGTAAAAATAGAAATAAAAAAATAGTTTGGTCTAATTTGTATGGTGATTTGATTTACTTAAAACCTGGTAAATCAAAATTTGTGGTTGGTGATCGTGTTAGAATTTCTAAGTATAAGAGAAAGGTATTTGATAAAGGTTACACACCAAACTGGACAGAGGAAATATTTGTAATTGATAAAGTTTTACCAACAAAACCTATTACATATAGTATTGTTGATTTGATGGGAGAAGAGATTAAAGGTTCTTTTTACAATCAAGAATTACAGAAAGCAAAACAACAAACATTTAGAATAGAAAAGATTATTAGGAGGGATAATAAGAAAAAAATGGCATTAGTAAAATGGAGTGGATATCCTGATAAATTTAACTCATGGGTGAGTTTGAAGGATTTGGTTGATTTTTAATACAAAATTTGTATTAAAAATAGTTATTTACTTATTTTCCTCAGATGAAAATAAGTCTTCAACTTCTTGATCAGTTATCCCTTCACTATCACTATCACTATCACTACTTTTTTCGTCAATTGTAAGTAAACTCTTTCTAGGTTCTAATTGTTTAACATAGCACTCGTGTACTTTTATTTGTAATGATGTTACATTATTACTTATAAAAATTCCTTCAATTATCAATGCTAATTTAACATTGCAATACTGATTGATAGATCTAAAAGGATTTAAATCCCTTCCCCCTTTTCCGTTAAACAAAGATAATATTTTTCTTGATTTTTCTGAGTAAATAAGTTTTGCATAAAGAACTGGCGCTGATGATTCATCAACTTTTGTTCTCTTTTTTCCTTTCTTGTCTGTGTATTCTATTTGTTTATAGTAAAATGGTGAAGATAGAGATGATGCTAGATCTGGTCCATATTCATTCTCTAAATGTTGCTGAGATAGAGTTGTTACATTATTAATAACATCAAAAAATGCTTTTTCTTTATTATTAGGTTCACTATCTTTAGCCCAAAGACATACTGGAATACTATAACCAACTAACTTAACTGTTTCTTGATTTTTCTTTTCATTAACACCAAAACTAAAAAGAACTGGAGATTCAACTACAAGTGGTCCTTTCTTTCCATTTGGGTATTTGACTTCAATTGGAATACGTTTGTATTTAATCTTGCTATCTTTGACTTTGTACTCTTTGGCTTCATTAAAGATAATATTCTCTTGGGTAATATTTTCGTAACTAGATAACATCATTTTATTAATATTTATTTAATCTTTAAATAACAATTCAATTTTATTTTTTAGGCCAGAGAAGATGCACACTCCAATAGTTACTTGATTCAGGATTAGTGTAAGTTAATTCTCCCTGTTTGTTTTTAATCTTTGTAGCACGTAAAAGATATTTATCTCTTCGCTCTTTATCTTTGTGAATAGTGTAGTCTGAATATTTTGGTGACCCAAAGTGAACTTTCTTTCCACCTGGAAGTGTGGCCATATATTTGTTATTTTTTCGGGTTGAATAATCAAGTGTTTCCGCACCAAGTTTTTTAGCATTTCTGGTTAATCTCTTAAACTCTGATCCTTTAAGAATAAATTTTTCGTTTGGAACATAATCTGGATCCTCATCATGTCTATAACCATCATCAACTATAAAATCTAAATCCTCTTTTGTAGGAGTAGTTTCTCTTGATCTTGGTTCCATTTTTATTAGTTGGTTATATTAATTTAATATTTTTTTCTTTTAAATCACTTTAAAACTTGTAACAAAAAAATGTTATAAGTTTACAATGAATTAATCACAGTATTCTATGATATTTATCTTATCAAAAAAACAACAACCAACTTTGTAATCAGTCTCAAATCTTGTGCCTTCGTAACATAATAATTGTGTTGCATTTTTAAACAAACCATCCATTTCTTCCATTGCATCATAATAACTTTCTTTTACATTAATTTTTTTAACTTTATTAAAAAATTCTTTTAAATCAATGCTACCATCTTCCACTGATTTAACTGTTTGTGTGATATTTCTATCAATATCTTTGAATAATTGGTAATCATCTTCACTATCAAATATCAATCCTCCTACTTTAAAAGGATTACAAATATTTGTTTGACTTGTTTCTTTGCTTTTCGTTTTAAAACCCATTTCTATTTTATTATATTTATTTCTTTAATTCAATTTTATATTTTCTGTTTCAACCTTAGTATCTATTTTATAGTAAAGTGTAGTATAGTGTAGTATAGGAAATGCTGACATGCAACTCACCTCATTTTTTTTCTACATCTTCGAGCAGTGGAGCGATTCTTGTGAACGAATGGAGCAATACGAGTGAGTTGAGTGAACTGAGTGAAATGAGTGAGCGAAGCGAACGAAATGAACGAAGTGAGCGAAACGAATGAGTTTTGCGAAATGAGTGAACAAGAGAGCGACGTTGCGAGATGAGGTAGAAAAAAAATGAGGTGAGTGGCATGGCAGCATTTCCTATACTACTAGCCCAAAGTTGAATACAAATTAGTTCAGCTCAACAGGAAAAACGCCAAGGGAGCATCTTGACATATTATTATAATAACTTAATAAGGATCAATTGAAATACGCAACTAATAATTTATAAAATCAGACACGAGATACCGTTTTAAAACTTTATTAAAAACCAATGACAAAAAGAGTCAAGTACAGATCGATTTGAAAGGAATGGAAATTAATAAATCCTCTTCTTCGTTCTCCTGTTTAGAAGGGGAATAGAAATTGGTTTCCAATGTCGTCGCGTTTTTGTTTGTAATTGCTCCACAATCGTGACACCGAAGAAAGTCCTCTGTGGTATAATTTCTCTCCTCGGAGATATGGTGATTGCATATAGGACAAATCTTGTTGTAATCGTGCCAAAAGCATTTTGGACATTCCATGATCAATGTCCCGTACACATTAGAGTTTCCCACAATGTTCACAGGGACTTTTAGAGTGAAAG